TTCTCTCCTCCCCCTCCCTGCAGGCATTTCCCTGTGGGAGTTTCCCCCCTTGTTGTACACAAAGAAGTATTTGCAGCTGCTCGAAATAAGTGTTAATTGTAAATCAAATCAAATCGCAAATTTGCTTCGATGCAAAAGTGACGTTGAGAACAACAACAAAAAAGTGACTAAGGACGTGTGCAATGACATTTTCTGAGGCTGTTCAATTATGACACCGAAGAAGACGACTTCAGTGGTTTTAGTGCACAGGAAGAGCACAGAATGTCATGTTCTATTTTGTATAGGCTTCGCCCTTTAAGGCTATCACTAGTGGGTTTATTTCTACGCGCGCAGTGCAGCAATGAAAATTTTAGTCCACGCCCACCTACTGTGTGGGTCTTATCCCCGGTCCGTATAAATTACGGTGAGACCGGGTAATCGGCTCCCATTTTTTCTTCAGACAGCTAGCTAGCACTGTCAGAAGAACGAAGAAGGAAAAGTTGTCCAGCTTTGACCGGCACAACCTTTGCTAAGGATGCCTGGGTCTCAGCCACGCCAACCTCCTGCCGTCCCGGTGAGCTCTTCCTCCCCGAGCAGAAGCAGAGACGAGCAGCTTTGTTCAAGGTAAGCGCCGAGGAGTGCTTTTCTGTGGCGGGTCGCTACCCGCTGGACGACGTCATAGCCGTTTCTACGTTTTTTTCCTCGCCGTAATCTAATGATTTCCTCGAAAAAGGTGATGTTAGCAGCAGCCCCACTGAATGTTTTTTCCGTGGAGGGCCGCTACTCGCTGGACGACGACACCACCTTTTCTAATGTGTTTTTGTCTCAAGGTGAATCGGATGATTCCTTCGAAAAGGGCGTTGTTGGCAGCAGCTCCGCTGAGTGTTTTTTTCTGTGGTGGGACGCTATGTGCGAGACGACGCCACTGCCTTCTTTGATGCAGAGTCATGCGGTGAATCAAATGATTCCTCCGAAAAAGGCGATGCGGAGCTGCCCTTCCCTCCTGGAGAGCGTAGTGACAGAAGACGAGTGGCCGAGCGGATGCTCAGCCACATGGGATCTTCCCATGTCTGCGACCACACCGCTCCCAGCTGTCGGCGCCCTCCCCTCGGAGCTGCCCAGCACAATCCAGGAGGATGTTAACACAAGGCACTTTCTATCCCTTGCCTCCCTCCGCCCTGATTGGATGATCTTGCGGCAAGGTTGGCTCCGCCCCGGCTCGTCACCCTGACCCCATCTGGCCTCGCTGTAACGTCACACTGGAACGAGGCTGCAGCTGTGCCCGGCAAGCTGAAGACATCTGTCTTCACCTTCACCCCCATCTCCAGAGTGGAGGGTTTTACCGATCTGTGTTTTTCCCTCAGTCCCCCCCACCCCACCCCCCGGAGCCAAGCCTGGCATTGACACTTGGGGCCAAAGCTTCCAGGATGGATCAGCAAACCTGTTCCTCCAGGGAAGCATGACCAGATGGTGACAAGGTCTCCAACCGAGCTCACCAGTGCTCATTCCAGACAGCCGCAGCGAACAACAACATCACCCTGCTGGCCTACAGCATCTCTAAGAGGCTGTAGGAAGCAGACGTGCTGGAGGAGACAAAGAGTTCTCTCTGTAAAGCTGCTGTTGTCATCTTAAACATGTGCCACCTCTGCGGTCTACCTGTCCCACAGTGCCGTCTGGATGACCATGATCCAGAGGACCACTTGGCTCCGCCTCTCGCCATCCTTGTCTGAGAGGCTGCAGAAAGACCTGCTGGAGGGCCCCATCACCCCAGAGGCGCTGTTTGGGGCCAACTTCAAGACCGTCCCTGAGAAATCGCATAGGTCCGAGGAGGTCTCAGAGACTGTACACCATCTGGTGACGTCACAGTCCTCCTCTCGCCCCTCCGGCCACTGAAGGGACCGCCTTGGCCAGCAACAGCAGCAGAGGTGCTCCACAGCTGTGGCAGCGACTTCACGCCCCGCCCCTCCACCGGCCCCCTCCACCAGGTAACAGATCCTTGAGGAGAAGGTATGTGTTTTTTGATGATGTATGTTTTTGATATAAAACAGAAACACATCTGAAAGTAAAGTTTTCATCTGAGACTGTCAGATCAGCTGAGCTCACAGCTGCCTCTCTTCACACATTCCCCACACAAAATGAGCCAGTAATCTCTAAACAGCGTTTTAAATGGCACCACAGTTTAGTTAAGTTCTGTGTGAATGGGTAAATGAGGACTCAGATTGTAATATAAAGTGCTCTGAGTGTCTTGAAATAAGATAGAAAGGCGCTATATAAGTACAGTCCATTTACCATTTACCATAAATATCATAAAACACTCGTCTGCCACGTCAGCTAAAATTATGTTTTTTTAGCAGACCGAGTCCGGTAAAATCCCTCGTTTTCAGCCAGAGCCAGTTTTTAATTTCTGTTGTTTTCTGCCCACTCACAGTGCAGCGGGAGTAAACGCATTTTCTCCATGACAGCTGCAGCCTCCATCGAAACGGCTTCTCACTCAGAAAGCGCTCACGCCTCCTCTCAGTGCACGCCAGCTCACAGCTCAGTTCTATGTGAGACCGCAGCCTGGGCTCAGCACAGAGGCACACATACAGCCCCTTTTTTCTGTCGGAGCCCTCCTTGGGTTCCCCCCAGAGAATCTCCGGAGCGAGTGATGGCAGTAAGGATTTTTAGTCTGGTTGACGTTCATGAGAAACATGACAACACAAATGCTTGCCCACTCTCCGAACGTTACTCAGAGTGGCAGCGAGTGTGTTCCCTGGACAGATGGACAGACCGTCTGATCAGAAGGGGTCACATGCTGCAATTCGCAGCTCAACCCCCACCATTCAGAGGGATTATAGAGATGGTTCTGTCTTCTCCAGAACAGAGCTCGTCTCTCCAGTCAAAAGTTCAGGAATTTCTGATGAAAAACGTG